ATATTACAGAACTCAGTATACTACATTGCAATAACATATTCACAAAACGCAATTTCGAAAAGTATAAAAGAACACGAGAAAAGAAAGTATCAACTACTTTAACAACGCAGAACGTTATTTTATACCCAGCTATGTTCTATAATATAGGTGAATGAAAAGCAATTGAATTTCTTTCACCATTTCACTTCAATAATAATCCAGGCTTCAAGTTGTCTTTCAGATATATATAGTGTTTTAGAAAAAAAAAAGTTGTGTATATTTCAGTGCCCTCTACTGGCGTAAATTATAAATTATCTTTCATCTTTGTCATTTTTTAGAAATTGTACAAAATATTTTATTGTGATTTTCGAGGATTGGTTTGTTTTGAATTTCGCGCAAAGCTACACGAGGGATATCTGTACTAGCCATCCCTAATTTAGTAGTGAAAGGCTATAGAGAAGGCGGCTAGTCATCATTACCCACCGCCAACTCTTGAGCTACGAATAGTGGGATTGACCGTCACATCTAAAGCCCCCACGGCTAAAAGGGCGAGCATGTTTAATTTAATTTTCTCTTGATCATTCGGAGTCTTACTTTTCAAAATCTATAAACTAAGAAAATAATAATTACTGAATTCAAATAAGTTTACGTACTCTATGCAGGAAATAAAGATTTCGTCAATTACCAGCACAACCACGTGAAGAGTGTCGTTAACGTGGTAACACTGTTTTAAGTTATCATAACCTTTTCATATAATTACAGAAACTACAAATACAATACTTTGTCCCAGCATACTCACCACAAGGTTATGTACTCTGCTATTCAAGGATGACAATACGTTGACTGACCTTTATAACTGCTTGACCGTTTCAGGCATCTGCGTATAAGTTACACGAGGGCTATCTACGCTAGCTGTCCTTAAATTGGAACTTATAGACTATAGGAAAGGGTTTGGATTTCTTTTGAATTTTGCGCAGCTACACGAGGGCTATCTGCACTAACCGTCTTTAATTTAGCATTGAAAGACTAGAGGAAGACAGCTAGTCATCACCACCCACCGCCAAATCTTTGGCTACAAATAGTGGGATTGACCGTCACATCTAAAGCCCCCACGACTGAAAGGGCGAGCATGTTTGGCGGTGCGGGGAATCAAACCTGCGATTCTCAGATTGCGAGTCAAGCGCTATAACCACCTAGTCATGCCGGGTCAAGTTTTGAGGATTATTTGCTTGTTTGTTTGTTACTAAGCGTAAAGTTACATAATGGGCTGTGTATGATGTAAACACAGCAGGTATCGAAACCCAATGAAAGGCATCTAATTAGTCAACAACAATGCCAACTACTTTTTTTGTTTCTTCGTCTTTTTGCTTTTTTTTTCTTTGTTTTGTAATAACGGTTTGCGAATCCTGGACCCTCGGACACACAGCCCGGTGCAAAGACAATTAGCCACGCTCAGTCCTAACCTATATAATACCTGAATATATTTTGACCTTTAAATAATTTATGTTGATAAATGGGCTATGTCCTGAGCTGATTTAGAAATCATGCGTTTCCATTTTATTCTCTACAAAAACACGTCGCATTCAACCGTTGTGAATTCATTCATTTGAATTCATTCATTTGAATTCTGGTTGAGGTAAACCGTCTATTAGTCAGTTTCATAAATGTGGACTGTTATTATAACCACACTGATTGCAATGGAAGGAACCTGCACGAGTAGGCCACGCTGCGTCTGTTACTAGATCGCCTTCGTCACGAGAAAGAAACGTGGTTCGTGCTGACATGCTCGCGCGAACAGAAAAGGAACGAAAGCGTGTTTTCTGCAATTAGACTCAAGTAGATAGAAATATCTTTATTCTTCGATCAAACTCTGTAATAAAAACCGACTTACTCCAAACTGACATGAAACTATTTCATCGCTAATGACTGAATGACGTGGACGGTGTCATTTGCTTATAAGGCTACAGTGGGGTGATGTCGTTACAGGGAACCATAAAAGTCGGTCCACAATGCTGTTTGTCGTACAAATGAGGAAGTTATTGGCTAATGGAAACTAGGTTTATAATATTTTCATGTTTTATGTTTTTCTAGGGGGCGTTACCAGTAATCATTAGTACCTGTACTAAAGAAAAATGAATAACGCCCTACAGTCACTAAGCCATTAAAAGATGATCCAAACATTTCGAAAACACGAGAAATTAGAGAATTTCAAACACATCAATGATACTTTAAATAAACTACATCATTTAGTGGCCAATGTTAAATACACAAGAATCAATTATTCATATAAAAAAACATATATTGCATTTTAGGCTTCACGTTTTCAGACTCTGTGGATCACTGATATGGAAAGAAAGGTCAGCCATATCGGCGGACAGACAGATATTATACACTAAAGGTTAGTATCGAAGTATTCTGGACATTTGCTACTATAAGAACCTGGATATAAATAAAGAAAACACTGGAATATTAGATTTTTTTCCCTTCTTATATTAATTTCTTCTACCGGTTTCGTGACTTCAGAGGTCACTCTCTTCGGGAAATAGTTTTACTGAGAATCAATAACAAAAAAACATACAAGTACCGCTTTTTAGGTGAACATAAATAATCTAAATTAAATACATATACTTTCCAAATGTACAAACATATACTACAGTTCATGTATAAATTAAGTACACTACAAATGTTCAAACATATATAATACAGTTCATGTATAAATTAAGTACACTACAAATGTACAAACATATACTACAGTTCATGTATAAATTAAGTACATTACGAATGTTCAAAAAAATATATAAAATAAGTCAATATAGTTTTCTTTGTAAATTAAAACCTTATTCTAACTATACTTTTACTTATTATCATAATAGAAATGGAGTTTATGTATTCCATAATTTTATGTATTATGTATAGGTATTCCGAATTTTTACGAAAATGTACACTAGAGCTATCTACAAATAAACATCCCTAACTTCTGAACACATAAAGCAACCATCCAAACGTACCCACCCTCTTTCGCTACTGGCCGAATTGTGGAATTTTATCGTCACCCATAATGCCACAGCGTGAAGGGCATTTTTTTTTAAATGGGTCGCGAACCATGAGCCCTCGGATTTACGGTCCAAGAGCGCTAACCACTAGGCTACGCTTGCATCAATAATCATCCAAAAATAATAATACACAATTTACTGTTGTTACTAACAGAATTCCAAACGATGACGCAAAATTTCATACATGACTGAAAAAGTTATCCTCGTTAGAAGTGTGTGTGTATGTATATATGTGTGTGTGTGTGTATGTGTATGTATATATGTATGTGTGTGTGTGTGTGTATGTATATATGTATGTGTGTGTATGTATGTGTATGTGTATGTGTGTGTATGTGTATATATATATGTGTGTGTATATATATGTATGTATGTGTGTGTATGTTATATATATGTGTGTGTATGTATGTGTGTATATATGTATATATATGTGTGTGTATGTATGTGTGTGTATATATG